TTTTTTATTAAATTCTTTTTGGTGGCAGCAAGCCATCAGCACGGCTCAGCCACCCTGGAAAACAAACCTGCCATTCCCTCTCCCCCTCCCTGCTCCTTTTAAATTCTACTTGTGGACTGCCAGCCTCTTTTTCCCCCCCAGAGCTGTGATCCAGAGCTGCTCTGATAGCAGAACGGTTCCACCCTCACCCTAACCCCAAACCTCTTGAGCTGGAGGAGATGCAAAGGATGTAAAAACCCAAATGGGGTGGTGGATGGCCAAGAGCTGCAGTGAGTTGGCCATCACAGGGAGAGAAGCTGTGATGTGAGTTCAGGGAGGAAAAAGGGTTTTGTTGCACTAAAACGCAGTGACTAATTCCTCGCATGTGTCTCTGAAGCTGAAACGAGGCCTTTGATGTGTCACTGATTATTCCCCCACCCCACCCTCTGCCTTTCCACTCTTGAACAGAAAAGATGAATCACAGAAGCCATTCACCCTTTCTGAAAATCCACTTCATACTCTTCTTTTTTTTTTTTTTTGGAGGGGTTTTAAATAAACGGGCAGTTTCCACACGAGCGGCAGGAACGGAGCACGAGGTGGGAGGATGAGCCTGCGGGAAGGGCCTGGAGCTTTGCTTTCTCCACCTGCCCAACCCTCCACAAATCACTGCTCTCCCATATCTCAGTCTTTGCCCATGGCATGGTTTGGGTTGGAACAGACCTCTTAAAGACCAGCTCATTCCGACCCTCCTGCCATGGGCAGGGAACACCTTCCACTATCCCAGGTTGCTTCAAGCCCTGTCCAACCTGGCCTTGGAAGGGCCTCTCAGGTCTCCCTTGAGCCTTCTCTTCCACAGGTGAACCCCCCCAGCTCTCCCAGCCTGGCTCCAGAGCAGAGGGGCTCCAGCCCTTGGAGCAACTCCATGTCCTTCAGTCCAACAACAGAACACACACTCCTCTTTCAAAGAGCATCATCATCATCCTACTGATATAGAGAGAACCTGACCTTACTCCCACCTTGCTTCCTGGGCATCCAGAAGTATCTGGCACTTTCAGGATGATGATAAAAGCTGCTGATCTGAGCCAGGATCAGTCTTTCCTATGGATACAACTTTAGTGAGATGCTGGACTATCTAGCATTTGATCCCACAGGCTCTCAAAGCACACCTGGCAGCAGCAGTTTGTGTAAACCACCGTGGGTGGATGCAGAGGGATCAGAACTTGAAAGGAGGTTCCCCAAGCAGGTCAGGGAGGGGGTCCTGCCCCTCTGCCCAGCACTGGTGAGGACACACCAGCAGCACTGGGTCCAGTTCTGGCTCCCCAGCACCAGAGAGGCAGGGACAGGCTGCAGAGAGCCCAGGGGAGGCACTGGAGCACCTCTGCTCTGAGGAAAGGCTGAGAGAGCTGGGACAGCTCAGCCTGGAGAAGAGAAGGCTCTGGGGGTCTCATCAGTGCCCATCAACACCTGCAGGGAGGGTGCAGAGAGGACGGAGCCAGGCTCTGCCCTGTGGTGCCCAGTGACAGGACAGGGGACAATGGGCACACACTGAGACACAGGAGGGTCCCTGTGAACGTCAGGGAACACGTTTTGACTGTGAGAGTGACCAAGCACTGGCACAGGTTGCCCAGGGAGGTTGTGGAGTCTCCATCCTTGGAGACACTCAGAGTTTATCTGGACACAGTCCTGGGCAGCAAGCTCCGGTGGCTCTGCTGGAACAGGGAAGTTGGATCAGACGACTTCCAGAGGTTCCTTCCAAAAAATCAATCCCTCTGGGATTCTGTGATCCTGCAACTGAGCGCTCTGCAAACTTCTCAGAAAGCAAACCTGCTGGGATTGAAGCTCACAGTCAGGTAAGGTGATACCCAGCACTGAGCAGGAGACCCTTCCACTGTGCAGGACGTACCTTGGGATCCCACCAGTGCCCCTCCACTCTATGCTGGAGCTTTCACTCCAGCTTTCAGTGAACAAGCACCAGTTGCTGCACACCATGACACCCTCTGCCACGTATGACACAACCCTCACCTCCCAGGAGCCACTGACCAAGAGCAAAAAGCTGATGAGAGGAAAGGAACCCACTGGCCCCAAATGATCCTCCAAAGGATTGCAAGACTGAAGAGCCCCGAGACCGGGCAATTATTATCCCAGTCAGGAGACAGAAATATTATAGAAAATCCCAAGTAGGAAGGGACCCACAAAGATCATTGAGTCCAACCCCTGGTCCTGAACAGGACACCCCAAAAATCACACCATGTGCCCGAGAGTATTGTTGAAATGCTTTCCTGAATGGAAAAATAAACGGACGAGGTTTTAAGAAAAAAATACCATGAAAAGCACCAGTGAATGTGGATGCTTAAGAAACTGGGACATGAAATAGTTCAGGCTCCTAAAGAGACAAAGAAATGTTGACAGCAGGTACCAGTCACAGAATCACAGAATGGTTTGGGTTGGAAGGGACCTTAAAGACCATCTAGTCCCATTTCCCACAGTTAACTGTGGCATGTCAGACCTTAAGTTTTCTGTAATATCTTGCTTTTTTAAGGAAAGAAAGCTCTCCCTGGAAGTTTAACAACAGACAGTGAGCCCAGAGACTTGATGTTCTCACACTGAAAATACGGAAATAAGAGCCAGGAGGTGTTGGCTCCATCCCTGGATACGCTGGGAGCAGACTGGTGGCACCTCTCTGAGATCAAGGTGCTCCACGATCTCCAGCTGCCCGTGGAGCCGCATGGACGGGCACTCCTGGCCCAGCCAGGGTCTGGAAGCTGCACTCAGAGGGGAAGGACCACAAATACAAACTGTTTTCCTAATAATAATTTTCCTAACAAACTCTCCTAATTCTGAGAGTTTCAATATGCCCCCCCTCGGCCGCTCTTCTCTTCCCGTGCTGCCGCTGTCTGATCCTGGGAGTGTGTGCTGGTTACTCCTGCAGAATAAACTAGGATGGGAGGGGGAATAAATTATGGAAGAGATAGAGGGAATGAAGAGCTTCTTGGACCTGTAGCAATGAGGAATGGTGAGCTGGAGAGGGTTTCCTAAAGGACACG